GACATGTCCAACTACATTACGAACATGTCAGAATTTTTTCAGATTTTTCGCAAGGCGTTAAATAAGGAAAAACCTAAAAAAACTGATTTTTCGAATTTTCCCGATTACTTCCCCCCTGGTTGAGATATAGGGCTAAAAATTGGAGTGAATGTTTCTTTTTTGATATGATATCGAATGGCGCAAACGGCGCTTCATTCGGCTCAAAGGCACATTTGACCCCCTTATCCAGCTAGGCCCTTTTCGACATTAATAATCTCGGACTTGGCGAGTATTTCCTCGCCATGGCTATTTTTGCAAGAATCCAAAATTATTTCACAGTACATCCACGAAAAATATAAAAGTATTAAAATATTAAAAGTACTCACATTGGCAGTCTTGTTTCGGCGTTGAGGATGATGGTGCTAGCACTCCTTCACTTCCGGACATACGTGAATTCGAGAATGTTCCGTATTCCATACGTATGTATGTGTGTACATATATTCGCAAATTTTGCTGTGCATAGTATTGTATATATGCGAAATTTTTTAAATAGCATTATTACGTTATGAGTGCAAAAGTAAGTCGTGGTCTTCGGTACAATTACTAAACGTAAAGGCGCAATTCCATATTTTACAATAAAACATATATGAGTATATTACATACATAAGTAGACATACGTAAATACGTATTACTGATAGCGCAAGAATTGAGCTAAGTTGTTAGAGATTCGTGATTAAAAAAGAAGGTTCTGCATGAGCTACATGCATTTCTAGAAACTTCGCAATTTATTCCGGGAAGATAGACGGTATCGTCAATCGCTGGAATTCGATGTTCCGGGAATTCGGAACATCAAACATAAGAAATGCGAAGACAATAGTTAATCTCTTAAGCCGCTAGCCGCTCGGTCGACGCGTAAGAGTCCCGAGCGAAGAAATACAATTATACGGCACGCACAGGAACAGAGATTTCTAAATACCGCTATTATATTGATCGTCATCGGAATTCGGCCATACGATCTAATAGCGAAAGAATTACGTAATAGCGCGAGACAATTCCATTTCAAGGAAAAGGACGGACTGTTCCATCATTTGCGCAGTCGCGAATAATCGTGGTCGAACGATTGTGATTGCCGATGGATTATCATTCCGAACTGGATCGTCGAAGAGTGTGCTCCTCTTCGCAGCCATCGATCAAGATTCGATACGCGTGGAAACAGAATTTACCTGTACAGCGATCGAACAACTCGTAGGAGTTGTCTAGGATAGAGGTATTCTCTGTCTGAGACATTAACGCGAGAAAAAAGCGAGCCTGAATTTCAGCACGCTGTACGTTCGATTAAAAGGGATTGGCCATCCCTATTTCGACGTACAGTAGAATTCGCTGTGCTCGCATCGCGTCAGAACGGGTTACGTTCCTTGCGAACTGATCAGGAATCTTTTATCGAGATCGCGGTCCTTTGAGTGACGGATCTCTTTGCCTTTTGGTGATAGAAGATTCTGTCTGAGACGGAATCGTCCCAATTAAAAAGGAGTTGCTTTACAACCAACTCCACAACGCATTCCTGATCCGAGGTTTTCGGACTTTGAAGGCGATTACCTTGAGCTCGTAAGAGCCGGTAGGGAATTGCGGTTTGGAACGACGTGTTCGTCGCAGACGCGCTCACGTTCTTCAACGGTTTTTCGACGTTGAGGATCGTTAAACCAACGCTGAGAATACTTCCTGGTGAAGTTCAGCGTTCGGGCAGTATTGCGACTGCAGCTGATCATTTCGTGAACGAAAGGGATCGGCGTCGAGCGTGGCGTTTTTCACGTTCGGCAGGGAATTTTAAACCCGTTCCTATTCGTACCGAGGAATAGGAAATTTATCCTCTGGTCGAAGACTGGGAGGCTCGAGGAATCTCGCTCCCGCATAATACAGTCCACTAAGACACCTGCGAGCGGTATCAATTCGCAGGTAGTTTGTTAGCAGCACGAGTATTCGTGTTCAAAATTATCTTTGTTAATTACAGAGATTATTTAGCAGCAAGGACCAGGAGGACCAGGGCCGAGTCGCCGGCGGGCTCCTCTGTGGGAATTTTCCTTATTTTCTTTTTCTTTATCATTTAAATTGTACGGGTGCTGGGGTTTTCATTATTGAATAAATTGGGTTCTTTTTTTTTGGAAAACCTAGCGTACAATTATTAAATTACCCGTTTCTCCTCCGGACTCCTAGTTAGGGCCACCTATCCCTAACATTTATATAGATTTATAAAGTTATCAACATTAATTATGTTATTACTCGACGGCGGTTGACAGGCACATATACGGCTGCTATTTTAGTACGACTTCTACAATAAATTTCATCTTCTTCTCAGTATCATCTCTTATTACAATTATCGTGTACTGTACTATATCGATAAGTTTTCTTTTTGTTAATTAACTTCGTGCCAACAAAAATGTGACCAGTCAATACGAGACCAGATAATCGAAACTGTCTAGTGTATTTATTAAAAGCGATAGCGATTTTTCACATAGCAACCACCGCAATTTTCTACGACCAGCCGATTCTTCGAAGATCTTACATATACGAATAATATTACTTCTTATGAAATGTACTAAGTAAAGGCAAAATATAGGAAATTAGGTTTTAAATGCTTCAACTCAAATGTCAGTTAAAGGGACATCAGTTGCACATTTACGGTGAATGTTTATGCTTATCTAATTCGGCTTCCGAACTACGAGTTTCCACGAATTCGAGGATAACGTCCGAACTGCGTGTTCGTACATGGTCGACAGTTCGCTTTCGAGTGCACAGTATGTACACAGAAGAGTCATGGACGAGAAACTCGTGCACCCGGCTACGTGTGCCGCGTTTTCCCGACGTGAATCGAAACGCAAACCGTGAAAGCTGGAAACTTCGAACTTTGAGTATCTTAAGAGTTAAATTCGGGAACACACGTAGCTCACACGCACTCAGCTGCAACGGCGATCTTGGTACTTTACGTGACAAATAAGGGAGACCGGCTTCGCCATATTTTTCTACATTGATTTTTCTATGAATCACAGTAATAGGAAATTTTGGCAAGCTGTTTCGGCAAAAGCATCGCGATCATGAATTCAATCCTCCAAATTATAATTTACGTAGTTGCCTCCTTGTTTTACATCCTTGAATGTTCTCGAAAGGCTATCGAACAGTATTTACAGCTTGCAGCAACCGTAAAAATTCAGTCACCTCTACACAATATTAGATCCAAATAAAAACATAATCATATTCGAGCAAGGAGAGCCGCTAATCATCAACATCACGAGAAAGTAAATTATACGATAAATCTAATAAACTGGTGATTATATACCGAGTATTTGCGAAATCGTGATACAATCAAGGGGATGATTCCTTAAATAAAATCTAGCCGAAAACAAGGAATATAGTTTTTTCATACCTGGCGTCATTTTCGAGAAAATCGGGTTTGAATGTTCATTAAGTACGCATGTATTTAGATAGTCTACTTTATTCGCCCGATTTTTATTTGTAGATTCACATGAAAGAAATAGTTTATGCTCAAAATAATCAAAATCGGGACCAATTAAAAGGTAATATCGTTTAGGCATTCGATGCAGTTAAAAACTCGAACACATTAGTTTCAGTTCACATTTCACTAATTCATCGAGCAAGAATTGGCCTACAACAACAAGGAAGACATTTTCAACATTTGTAATTTAGAATAAATCAATTAATGAATTAAGGCTAATTATTAATTAAAGTCGCGTACCTAGCAAATTTCCAAAC